GACTTCAGCATCCACGCTTTGTAAAGCATGTGAGTTTCTTTCATTGTCTAAAGTGTTTTGCATGAGGTCTCTTTCTTTTACGTGCTACTTTGGCAAGCTTCTAAGGCATTGGTGTGAATTAATGATGCAAAAGCTACCTGATCCAACACTGAGAAATTTCTAAGTAATATTCAGCAGTATTTAGAGTGGAAAAATTACAGGTGAAAAAGGTATTCTGTGTAAAGTAACAGCTGAGCTACTATAGAGTGTGGTGTTGTAAGTGGAACATGTTCAATTGTGTGTTCAATTCAGGAGGTATCACTGGGAACTTAAAATACACCAAGGATTCATTCTTTTTTTTTACTGTAGATTAAATTGGTCAAGTGAAAAAATGTGAGTACATATGTGTAGAAATGATAGGAGTGGAAGTAAAACAATGCCAAAAGTTAACATCTGCAAACATACAGTGGGTGTGTGTGGCTGATATTTTTGTATTGAAAGAAAGGGTTAATTTTGAAGTCCAAAATGGTAGCTTGCAACTCCCTATAAGGCCATTCTCAGGAGTCAAGTACATGATGTTCAAGAGAAAGATGTTTGTAAAGGGCTTCAATTTGAAAATCTGGAATAGCCAGCTGATGTCTTACCATCTTATTGGAAAAGTCTGTGCTGTTTTCAGTAAGTACACAGTAAAGTCACAAAAAAAAAAAGCAAATAGAAATTCTCTGTCTGGGTTTCTCTTTGGATTAGGATGACATGGTAGGTAACATTAATGTGGATCTTAGTTCAGTTTTTATGAATGTAATGCTCAGTGAAGTAGTAGAATTTAGATAGTAGCTCTTAAGAGTAGAATTCTGAGCATTTTTACTCATTTCTCAGGCTTTCCCCTGAGCTGTGTTCACAGTCTGGATTTATTGGAAGGAATACTGGGCCCTGAATTGTGTGTAATACATTGCACAGCAAGGCCAGCCAATTCACTTCAAAGATGCATTACTTACAAAAAAAAGTAAATCAGACAAAAACTTACTTAAATCTTTTTTAGTCAGGGTACATCTGTGGCCATTGCTTTACTGGTCTTTGGAAAGAAAGACTAGAAAGAAAGAAAGAGTAGCTGTAGGTATTTCTTCAGGGCAATAGTTAAGTGCCCACTCTATTGCATTTTTTTGTCTCCTTCTTCCAAATACCCAAACAGACCCCCAGTCAGTAACTATCAGCCCCCAGTAACTATCGCCTCCCTGGTTTTAACTTGATAAATAAGATGATATGCTAGAGGCAGGAAAAAAAGCAGTGTCCTGCCCAAAACTACCTGAGCTGTAACATGTGAGATTTGTGAAATAACCACTGTATTGGACTTCACCCTGTGCTTTAAATGAATTCCTGTGGTGAAGTTTTGCTGTCAGCCATGCGTTGGGAGCATTTCGATTTCACTTACTTGTTTCTATACTTCAGCAGCACAGACTGCTTTGATTGCTTTGTGAGTTAGTTGATAACAAATGCAGGAGGAGTTTGTGGAGTTCAGTTTTAAAACTGGGCTGGGATAAAAATGCTTGGAATTACATGCTTGACATTTGGACCAACATCACATTTACAGTTTCTGTCTTTTTGTGACTTTAGTGTCAGGTACTAACCTGTAAACATAATGATGTGTAGTTGTCTTACTTAGGAGGCTTGCTGTATGCCTCAGAACCAAGTACAAGATCTTAGCAGGACTTGGCTTGAAGAACAGTTAAACAAAAACTATGAGTAAGGCACTAGTCAATGCAGCAAACAACAATTACAGTCTGTATTCTTTAAGAATAAAGCTGTTCTGTTTAGGAGATTGCTTGTAATATGACAGAGTTACCAATGCCAGCCAGAAGGGGATTAGAGAAAGTGCATCTTTTGGATTATGTCTCTGAGGTCTGTGAGACACTGCTGAATGGAAATTCCTGTTAGGTTTGGACATTGTGCAGTGGTGATATTCGGAAGAGCTGAAGCAAGAGGTAACTGGCCTAGACAGATCTCTGGTAACTTAATGTGAAATAGATTTTTTAAAGAATTATTTACATTGGCAGAAAGAGCTGAAGCCACAGTTGAGGCTGCTGTGGCAAATCTAGTTAAGCAGGAACAATGCTAGCCAGAAACAAATAATTGGCTGCAACAGCTTTAAAAAAATAATGTTTGTATGATTTTTTTATTTTTTTTTTGGTCTGTTTGTTTTCTCCTTAATTTCTTACTTGCTGAAGTCCAAGGATGCACTTTGTCTTTTGGCTAATGTAACAGACCAAAGCCTTCTGTGCTGCTTTGGAGCCGCTGTCATTCCAAACAGCTATTAAAACACCAACCTGTGCTTTATACCAAATGAAACTTGAGCCTGCCAGTCTGGCTGTGGGATGGCTGACACTATTTTGCATTAGAGCTGCTCAGAGAAAACCAGACCCCTTCCATCATAAAAACAGAATATACTACTACATTTGGGGGGGATCATTGAAGCATCACAATTTGTTCATCAAGTCAGTAAGAATGTAGTTGTAAACAGATGGACCCGGTTAATGCTCAGGATTGTAGTTCCCTAAAATCTGTCCAATTAAACTACTACATTTGAATCGTTCATTTGGTATCCTGAATAGAAGGTCAATGGCTACTCCATTGTCTCATCACTGAATACTAAATCAGAAGAGACAGATTTGACAAATGTCTCCTTCACTGAGTTTCTTCATTACATGTACAAAACGCCATTTCAGAAACTTAAGACATTGTTAGTATACATAATGTGAGGGAGAAAATACTACATTAATTCTTCTTGAATATTATTGCCATAAGGAGCTACAGCTACCAGCTCTGGACAGTGGGGAGAAGGGGTTCTGTGTAGGTTTTCTTTTCCCTTTTTCTGAAGACTCAGTATTAAATTTACCTTGAGCTTTAAGATCACCCATCCATGGGGACTTATTCTCAGTCTCTCAGAAAATTTGCAAGTATTGCAACCTGTTTTTAAAACTGTTATTATTTATTTTTTTTATTTTTAAAAAAATTTTTTTTTCCCCCATTGACTCAGAAGACAAATTTCATTGGTGATACAACTTAGCTGAGTGGTAAGAGTTTCACCAGAGATTAATCTGGACTAATCTTTATTTAATAATAATAGAAAAAACACTGTTAATTAAGTGCTGAGGATCTGTACCATGCCTGCTATACATATGCTGAAGTTATATATGGAACAAGGAAAATGTGAAAGTTTTTCTTTGCAAAGACTTCCTTCAAAGCAACTTCTCTCTTCAGATTACTTTTCTTTGTTTCTTAAATGAATGTCAGGATATATGCTCTTCTCTGTATATGTGAAGGCTAATAAATTGCACGGTTTATGTGAATGTTACAAAATGTTCTTGAGCATTAGAGCTCTGCACAGTTTTTTCTGTAAAAGTGACAACTAATAGAATGATTTTCAGTAAGATGATGTGCAGCTGGGAAATGGCAAAACAAACCGTGCTTATGAGAAGCATGTCAGTCACAACTAGTTTCATGGTGTGTTCCTCTCTCTCCAGTGGGCAACTGTCAGAAAATGGCATTAGGAAATTCTAAAAAGGTGCAGATTCAAAAACTGTGCTTACTTCAAGATAAAACTTTTTTTTTTTTTTTTTTTCTTCAAAGCTTGTAAATGAAACCTGCATTCTGAGTCAGGGTGTCTTTTTAATTAACTTGTTCTTAAGGTGAAAGTAATCCTCTGAGACATTTCTTTTCAGTTAACCCACAGCTTTCAGATAGTCCCTTCTGTAACCTTCAGCATGGTAAGAACAGTCTGCATTTTGAATACAGTACGTTTTCAACAAAATGAAGAATGCAGTTTGCTTTTGCAGCTGGATTCCTTCAGCAGAGGATAGGGATTTTCATTAAGAAACTAAGCTATTATGGGGCTGGAGAAAATTCTCTTGTTAGACAATAATACCTTTTTTTTAAAGAGCAAATTCACACTTTTGCAGAACAGTTGCATCTTAGTGCAGCTGAGTCATGGTTGTAGAAGGACACCATTAATGCCAGCTGAAACTGGGGCCTAAATGAAAGCATCACTTTTCTTTTAGACTGATATTTCTATCTATATGGATGACATTAAAAAAAAAAAAAGCCATTTCACATGTTTTTTATTGATGTGAAGGGGAAAAAGAAGTATGAAATTTAAACAATTCTTGCATTTTTTTTGCAGAACCTTTTACTATCCTAAAAAAAACAAACAAAAAAAAAAAGTATACAAAAAGTTGTCTGAAAATGATTCAGCAAGCAACTGCTGGCCTGCACTTGATGAATATTTCAGTAAAATTTTTTCTTGAGATTGCAAGAAAAATCAATTCTCGATCTTTGCTTTTACTAAAGAGATTTACATTGTTATATACTATTGTAATTATAAATAGCAGTTATGTTGAAAGGAATCCATGTTATACTATTGAAAATTAAGATTTAACTGAGAGGTTCCAGGGATTCTAATAAATTTGATTGGGTCAACCTTAATCCCTCAAAACCCTTGTCCCCTTAGAGATGAATAAATTACCAGTTACAGAACTCAAATGTAATTTAAGGCTATTTAGAAAACACACAGGAGTGATGCTCACACTAAATGCTGAAAACTAGGAAAAACTTGTATGACTGGATGTTTATTTAGAGGGAATTGTTTAAATAGTGAATATATCCTTACTCTGCTATCTTTTCTAATATAGTAAACCTACCACTACTTGTACATCAATAGTAACTGATCTTAGAATGCCATTTCATAGCCAGGATCTCAGTTCTGCCAAGGGTTTGTTCTAGCCTGGATGGCAATTAGGGGAATTCTTAAAACAGTATGAGTCAATTCTTCTGTTTCAGTTAAGTTCAAACGAGGAACATAAAAATTAACATGGAAGCAGAAATGACATTCAGTGTCAGAAGTAACAAACCTTGAAAGTCCCAAATCAATAGAGAATATATTTTAGACAGTTTTTATGTAAGTGTGCTTTTTCCTAAAAAAAAACACCCCCCCCAACCACCCATTTTTTTTTTTTTTTTTTTGCTGAAGTCTTTTGTCTGTAAATATGAAAGAGGGCTACACCCCAATGTAATTCTTCATTGCCATACTAAACAGTAAAATAGTCTCTCTAGTTCACATTGCTCATGGCAGTCTTATTTGATGTTGCTTTACTGAGTTTGTGATTGAAACAGTTTGGCATTTTTGTTGGTTGTAAACTTTTGGCATAATGTGAATACCAGTCTCTTTCAAAAACAGCCTTGAGTTGCTTTATGATGCTTGTGCTGTTCCCCGCGTCTGCTTGGTTGATAACGAGGCCTGCTCCAGCGTTCTGCGTAAAAGCATTTCCTACCCAATCAAAATTACCTACGAGTAAAGGCAGGAATACACAACAAGTGAGAACAAGTTACTTATTCAAAATTCATTTGCTCTTGCTTTTTATATATATATAGTGTGTGTGTGTGTGTGTGTGTTTGTCATCAACCTTTTCAGTGCCAAGAATGAAAATATTTTTGGGTCTTATAAGCAAGCTGATGTGATAGATAATGGTTGCTCCATAATGCTGAACCAACGCATCCCCATTGACGACTACTTCAGAAAACTAAAACAGGATTTTATATTTTATTCCAGTTCTTACCACCTTTGTCAAAGTCTAAGGTAACTTTACAGAGTATCACAGATCTTAGTGACAGCAGAGGGAGTAGCTGCATTAATGGAAAGCAGATAATCCAACTATTTCACTAGGACCCATAAATCCTTAAGATCTGCATTTAGAGTGCATGGAGTATTTTGGAGAGAAATGCTGTTATTAGATGCCATATTTTAAAAAAGTCTGTCTAAACATGCACATACAAAGTTCTGAGGTATCTGAGAAACTTGCAGCCTTTCTTTGGGAGATATTTTAGCTGCTTCAATAGGAAATGTTAAGAATTCTGAAGTTGTCAAGAATGGAAAATTGACACCTCATTGTGAGGAATCGTTCTTCATGTGCTTTCAAGGAGAGGATATATCAGGTCATTAGCGTCACTGTGGCACAGATTTAGTTGTATATTTCTTTGTCTGTAAATCCGTGTGCGTGTATGCATGTATCTGTCTATCTATCTGTAGCAATGAAAATGCAGATACGGAAAAGACTAACAGAAAACAAAATCCCAACAAAAGGCTTAGAACCCATGCTACAAGGCACTGAGATTTTACTTGGGTATTGGAGAGAATTTAAAATGGAGTAAAAAAGATGAGTAAAAAGCTCATACAATATTTGGGAGGGGAGAGCTCAGCTTTTGAAGTGAAAAGTAAGATTTGGATAGATTGAGAGGGATATGTGTGCACATTAAGTGTGCATCAGTGCATACCGTTCAGAAATCTTGTTACTTTTTAATTCAGTAGCTGTTTTTGATTCTGCAGCTCAAGCACACCTCTATCAGTTTTACTATCATGCATTCAGTGAGCATTTGATAGTGAAATTTTCTAGGTGTCATGCAGAAACTTAATATTTAACTGTACCTTCAGCCCAAAATGCCAATCAGACGTGTATCTAATGATAAAAAGAATGTCTGAGATGTCAGTATAGTTAAGAATAAGAAGATGTCAGAAGGGAGGATGACAGCTGTTTGTAAAGTATTTAGTAGAATTGACTATCAGTTTAGTAATGATGTATCATAGTGATAGCCTTCCAGTATCTGAAGGGTACCTACAGGAAAGCAAGGGAGGAACTTTTTATAAGGGCAGGTAGCAACAGGACAGGGGGAAATGGCTTAAAACTGAAAGACTAAGTAGATTTAGTAGATTTAGAAAGTAGATTTAGACTAGATATTAGAAAGAAATTCTTTACTGTGAGGGCAGTGAGACACTGGAGCAGTTGCCAGGAGGGATTGTGGGTGCTCCAGAAGGTGTTTATGGCCAGGCTGGATGGGGTTTTGAGCAGCCTGGTCTGAGGTAGGTGTCCCTGCATATGGCAGGGGGCTGGAACTAAGTGACCTTAAAGGTCCCTTCCAGCCCAAACCACTCTATGATTCTGCAATGTGGGAAATGAAGAGCAGTCCACCTTTGTTGCATTGTGGAAACAGCATGTTAGTCATATTTATGCCTATTTCATGAATTATAGTGTATTTGTATTTTCTGTCTGTATTTTAAACTCTGAAAACATCATGCTACTTTTGAGAAACTGATTCAGGGGAAAAACGAAATTTAAGAGGTCTTAAATAAGAAACTCAAAGCTATCTTCATTCAGAAATTAGACCAGTAATTTAATTAATGAGTAAATCAGCTGTAGATTCCTCATAAATGAGTGTTATTTCAAGTTTATTTCAAGATGGCTGCAAGTTAGAATTGCTGGAGAGATGGTAACTTACCAATGTACGCAGCTCCATCAGTCACCATGTATTTGTTACGGTTTAGTTTTGGAAGGGAAGTGTTCTTCTGATCTTTGAGAAAGCACGCACCCTCTTCCTCGAGGTCAAAGAATTTCTGCCATAAAAAAAAAAAAAGTTAAGGTTAATAGGAACCATTCTGTCATGGATTAAAACAAAATATGTGCTCTTCTACTCTTTATTGAAAACAAGTTTGTGCTGTAGAACAGCTCAAGTTCACAGGCAAGCATTAGCTTTAATAGAACACTGCACATTGTATTACATACTGAATTCTCACTGTGATACTTAGTATTCCTTTGCATTGTGAAGCATACAAAGTAGATGGCTACTGCAGATTAGATGTGATAAAATGCTGCATAATAATGGCTTTGAAATAGCAAAAAAAGCAACGCAAAATTTTTGTCTTCTGCATAATGAGAGACAGAAACTTGAGCTCATTTCCCTTTTCGTCAAGGAATCCTGGCATTTGAAGATTGCTTCAGGGATACACATTTCCGGGTATGCCAGCAAGTTGAATTCACATCTTTACCTTAGATGTTGCATAGTTTCCAGAAGGAGACCTGCAGATCTCAGAAACACTTCATGAAAAGTCATGAAAAGATAAAAATTTACCAGACAAGAGAAAAGCACATCTGTTTTAGCCAGAGAGTGATCATCTGATTTGTTTTGAGGAGCTGTATGCTTTCCGTACTTGGTTTAGTGCCAGACAAAAATGAGATTTCCAGTACAATACCATGTTTTGCTTGTTTTATGAAGGAAGCTAATAGCTAGGCACAGATTCCAAAAATAGAAATGGGAAATAATACAGTGAAGTAGAAATCAAATATTTACTGCATGACTTGGAAACTTTGAGGTGATGGTGTAGAACCTCAAAAGAAGTGTAATTCACAATATATTACTGATGAAAGTAACCAGCTGTACCCCTGCTGTTGCCTCTGCTCTGATTGCCTGAGGAATCCCTACACAAGGATGCACCCACAACAGAAAGTGTGTACTTAGCAAGTGGAGGTGGATCTGAATCATTCTGAAATACCTCATATTTCTGGATAAAGCCAGAAGAACAGGGCTTTCTTTGCAGAACAAAACAGGAACAGAGATAGTTAGCAGCCATAAGGTGTCCTTCAAGTGTACTTGCATTAACTTTTCCCAGTGATTTGGAAGGTAAAGCAAACCGCTGCATTTGTAGGAACTAGTCTAGAAATTGTGTGTGGGTGAAGTTTTCAATGCCAGGCACTGAAACATGACAAGCTCTCTTCCCTAGGTTATGATACTTAACAGAAAAATTACAGATCTTGCCACAAAAATAGCCAAGCACAATCATGATACAAGCTTAGAATTGTCAAACTGAGATAGGTTCAACAGATGTGCAAACTGAGAGTTTGTATGCTAGTTTCCTGTTTGTATATGCTGTTAGAAAAGTTCAGCTTCAGGCAGGAAAAGATAGGATGACTGAATATATAACGTGCTCTCTGGCGACAGCTGACAACTCATTCCTTATCAGTACAGATACCAGTAGGGAGCTGCATCTGTGCTCACAAACACTACAGAAATTTGCCTTAGCTAAGCAAGCAAACCATCACCAGCATTACGTAGCTCAGATTAACATTCTCTTAGCCTACCTTCAGCAGAAAAACTGTGTTAACAACACCTTTTGCTAGGATTTCATTCATTGTTTCCATCTTTATTTTAGGAATTTGAAACTTTAAAATAAAATTGGTGCTCAGGAGTAAAAGTTTCATAGTTAATGCACGATATTTTTTTGACTCATAGAGCAGCTCTATTTTGATGTTTCTAGAAAATCAGTGAAAGGTTCTGTTTTTTCCTGCCCCTTACCTTAGCAGGCAGTTGGTGCCGTAGATCTGTATGCTACTCTACATCTCTCCTTTCTAGGCTCCAGTTCTCTAGTATCGCATCTAGTTACTTTCAGTGGGCCCTTCAGAAGCATGTACCTGCATGTGTTCAGCGTGGTAACCAGCAGTGCTGGGTCTCTTCTAAAGCTCCTTTGAGAGTTAGAGCATGCATTCTTGTGTTGTAGGATGCACTTAGAATGCCGAACGTGCAAAACTTAAGTACAGCACTTAATGACAGGTCAAAGAGGCGCACCAGTGAATCTTCACCTGGACTTTGAGCTTTACTTTCACAATCACATTTGGTACAATGCGGGGAGCGGGACAGAGGTGCCTGAAGGAGAGCAGTTTGGTGCCAGCATACCTTGGTGTTTGGCGATGTGCTCCTTTTTTGTCCCTAAGCAAAGCTTCTTCCTCATGAATTCTTCCCAGTCTTTTTTTTTTTCCTCTACAGTATGTGCATTGAGGTTACACACTCAAAGCAGTGTCAGGAAGTTTTGTGGCAAGAGAAAAAGTTGTTTCTAGTCAGAGAATGCTGTTGAAATTCAGTGTTTGCAACAGGGAAATTGTCTTGCAGTCTGCTGCCTTTCTGACGTCCCCATCAGACTGCAAAATGACCGCTTCTTGTTCTTACTCAAGGCACTGTTACACACAGCAGGTTTGCAGAGCCCTGATTTTTAACTGCATTTGTACCAAAACTTGCACTAGTCTGGTCAGTGGCCACAGGAAGCCAGGAGGTTCCTCTCTAATGGAAAAATTACATCTGTGCTGCCTGCTCCAAGGTGACCGAGTACCTTGGGTTGCTGCCTTCGGCAAAAAAATGCAGAGTGCTGTGCAGCTGTAGCAAGCCAAGCCATGGGCACCCTGGTGGAACCCCCCAGGCTTTGCTGCTCTTTCCAGAAGAATTAAAAAACAAGTCAAGGCATACCACAGGAAGCAGAAGTTAATGGGAAGAAGTTCCTAAGTGCACTTTGTGTAGGACTCAACTATGCTATTTCCAAGAGAACAGAAGATGGGAGGGTATGATTTTGATCAGAATACTGTTAAGGCATTAGCATTAGCTAGCGGTTTAAGTACATTTTCAATCAGTTTGTAATGGAAGTTTCTCTTAAAATTGCAGCATTCTTCTACATAAGCCTGTATTGTACATGTCTGCACAGGACAGTAGCTTCTGTAGAGTTTTGTGTTCCCTCCCCCCATGCACACACGTTATTACACTTTGATCCTGGCTAGAACAGATGAATACAAAGGATATACATTTTAAGAAAAACAGTGCTCATCTCTCATGTTTTGTGAATCAGATACGTGTCGTGGTGAAGCCTGAGGTACAGTTCAGCTAAAATCAGATGGTTGCCAGCAAACTCTGAGCCCTAGGTTATTACTCACACCAAAGTAGTTTTTCTTTTGTTGTCATCAAGGCAGGGACTTAAACAGTGCAGCATATCTGATGCACAGTGCAGAGGTAACTGAGCTGTGCTGTGCCTGGAGCTTTTTTTGGAGATTGTTATATTTCTGTTTTAACTACAGATACTCTGGCTAGGATATCTAACTAGAAGAGTTGTCTGGGAATCTTCCCCCGTCCCCCGTCCCCCTTCCCGTCCCCCTTCCCGTTCCCCC